TCCACACAGCTTTCTGCCACTTCCACCGTTGCTTCCTTCAGGCTTCCACCATTTCGGCTGCTGTCTCTCTCCACTTACTTCTGTATTCGCCTGCACATTCATTTAGTTTCCACACCTTGAATCTGCAGCTTCTTTCCTGTTGTTTCTCCTTTTCCTTTTCTTAAAGAACGTCCCATCATGACCAGCAGTCTGGCGGTGAGCAACTGCCGGGGATCACTTTTGCATCTCTCACGTTTTTACGGTTCTTCCTCACCATTAGGAAGTCGACCTAGGAACTGCTATTCTCCACTTCGGTATGTTGTTAGATGGACATCTCTCTTCTTGAATCCGGTGTTTACCAAGATAGTTCCAAGCTCTTTCAATGTCTCTAGCCTTTTTCTCGCCTTCATTTCTCAGGTCGTATCCAAAAACCGCCAGGACATCTTCCAAAATCCTGCTGTTTGCTCCTGTAGACATATCAGATCAGCTCCTAGGATGATTTCTGTTTCCTCAGGATCTCTCTAACACTTTGTTCAAGTTGTTCTCTGTGAACTCTTCCTTCTCTTGATCTTCACAGTCAATCTGTGGAGCATAACCACTCACGCTGTTGATCAGACTCTTTCCTGCTAGCACCTTAATTGTCATCAACCTGTCTGAGGGCCTGAGCTCTTCACGAAGGCTTGCGGACATGCCTATGGCAGGAGTTAGTAAATGTACTTGGCGTCCATGCTGCCAAACTTTCCCTGTAAAACTTTATCACTTATACCTTGTATCTGTGTTTACAGATATCACTAAATTACTATAATCAATCAATGATTTTTTCCTGAGAAATTCAGGTAAAATCAAGTCTCGATGGGAACTCCTGCCTCTGGAAAATAATAATACAAAGCAATGTCATAATATTCAATTTGTATTATTGATGACATTTACTGTGGGCAATGTCCAGATCTTGAGTGTTAGAAGGCCCATGTATAAAATTATTTGAGAGCTGAGTCTAAGGCAGCCGGTGATACCCCACACTGGGCCTCAGTCTCCGTCTCTTAAACTCCCAAACACCAAGCAAGGGATCTGGGGGGTGTGTATAATTGGCTGAGATGAATTGTGAGTAGTGCTATGTGCGTCCTCTATTACTCAATTAGTATTTATTTATTGGAAATTTCTGCCATATCAACATTAGATCGTTAGCGGCCTAATCCAAAAACAAACACATGTGCCACACATCAAAGGTCATTATAGAATTATGACAAATTATTGTGGCGAAAAGGGTAAAAACTAACAATTAGGATAAATGGACAAAAGAAGGGATGAAAAAGAGAAGGAAAAGGACAGAGAGAAAAAGCCAATGTAAAATTAGTGAGGTAAGGGCTGAGGACCAAGGTAGGATTGATCCCTACATTGGGCCTCATCACCGTCCCCTAAGCCCCCTACAACAAATAGCAAGGACTGGTCCATCTAAAGGTAACTCAAATCTTCGTTGCTATATCTCCAACAAGCAATACCTGTCATTATGTGCATTCATGGCGTGTCATCTAAGGTCATTAGCGGTGCATTCAAATATAGCCATAGGGTGGGGAATGTGAGCGAAAGTCCGCAGGTAAGAAGTTTTGGTTCACAAGGGATGTTGTGGATATCCACAGAAGATATGAATAAGAGAAGTAGAAGAAAGGAGAAGACTGCATAATCAGGTCCAAAGTAGAGGTAATCCTTACAATGAGCCTCAGTCTTCGCTTCCTAACCCCCCCCCCCCGGCCTTCACCTTACGGCAACAAAAGGTAAAAGGTTTAGTTTGATACCATTTTACAATGGATATTCTTGATGTGACATACTGCTGTTTCATTTTGCTTTTAAGTTGTCCCCTGAGTGCAAAGAATGGCCGGGGTTAACCATCCACTGGCAGCCAAAGGATTTGAAAGCAGGTCAGCAAGATTGCTAGACGAGATCGCTACCGCTGCACCACACAGCACACAAGGGATTGGGGGGTTCCATGTCAGTAGCAACCTCTCAGAAAATATTTCTTTTACAACAGAAGCTAATGGATGTTTCGCCATTTTTATAGTTTCGTTAGTCATTGCTTTATGGGTCCACAAAAGCAACTGTTTTTATATGTGTGATGTACTGAAGACAAGAAATTTAACAATTATGTTATATATCATGCAAAAAATCACTGTCATTTCTGGTATCTATCATTTACCGGACTCGGACGTTCATATATATCGATCCAGACGTCGTACCCGATCGACTCTGTCATGACTACTATAGGATATTGGGATAGCAGAAAGGTATTATGGTCTGATAGCCCTGCGTTCTTAGGCCAGGTGGAGTAAACAGCAGCAGTGTGGACTGAAATCTGGAAGATTTTTTTTTTTTTTCCCCCAAACCAGACTAGGACCTGTATTGCAAAGTAAAGGCATAGTCAGCAAACATATATGTATGTTTGTGGGTCAGTCTGTTTTGTCAGTTCTGTCCATCCTTTAGCTTGTACTGGAAGCCTCCGTGCCCGAGTTTCAGCATGAGGAGTTCCGGTTTGGTAAGAAGTTAATTAAGTAAATATTACATATATCTCACTATTAAAAGACAATAACAAATGGAATATTATAAAATAATAATATCAGAGACATTACTAGTTTCTTCATCGGTGCTCGAAATCAAAGTTGAAGCTCGAGCCGGGAATGCTACAAAATTTGGATGTGAACCTAGCTGGAACACCAAGCTCAAATCACAGATCAAAAGTAAAACTTAGCAAAAGCATCTTTGAAAAGCAACACAACACATATTGCCTTTATAGTCAGCTTTAATGTTGTTTTTTGTACTAGCTACATTTTATAATTTATTAATTTTTTGTCTGTTGCTACAGAAAACCAACCCTGAAATTTAACTGTGTTTATTCTTCACTATCGTATATTAGAGTGACATGATTAGAACCTAGATGTATAAGTAGAGTGACATGTTTGTGTGTGAGGTCCATGGAAAGTGACATGAAAGTGTACCACCGTTCAGACCCAAACAACCGAGATAACTGACGAGCGTGATGCACAATACTTTCTAGCTTTACTAATTTTTCATTTCTGTATTTATTCTATTTTACCGTGCTTTCTTAACACTTATAATTGCTTTAAATATTAATAAAAGGGATAGAAAGAATTGTAACTTACCATATATTCTGATGTCTTCCTTTGGACAGCACCCATAAATGGATTGCCTGCTGACATCATATTTTTTGATTCTTGCATCTGGCCATAGTGGCAGCAAATTGTTGTGGTGCGTATGCGAGGCTAATCCAGAAACCCCACCCCCCCCCCCCCTCGCGGAAAAGAAAAGAAAAGAAAAGAAAAAAACGAACTAATCACAACTGTTGATCAGCTGATTCTTGGCAAAGATTTACCTTCATGTATTTTTTTATTTGATTTATTTGTTTTCCAGCTCAAAATATTACCACTGCATTGTCAGAGAAGTCAGAACTGGTATGAAGCTAATCTACATTCTAAGATGGCCATAGGCTCCAAGAAAGAAAGAAGAACGAGGCACTGATATACTGGACTTCTGTTACAATTTCAGAGATTCAAGTGAATCTCTGAAAAGGCTTATAAATTGTGGAAGGGTTCTTTTTCATGTGGACAGCTCTATTCTTATCATGAACTCGATACGAGTAGTAGTTTTGTTTCATTCGGCTTGAGGAAATCTTCGTCTTTTTAGTTTCTCGAGGTTTCACTAACGGTAATTCTCTTTTATTTATTTTTTGATTATCATTATCTTTTTCTTTTTTTTTTTTTTATTTTTTTTGTATTTTTCATAGTTAATGTATAAAACATTCAAAGAAATATTTTAACATGTTCATGAGGCATTGAGAAGTATGACCATTGTCATGATACCTTAAGAAATGTTAAGGAAAAACTTTAGTTTAATTGCGTACTTGAACTCGTTGATTATAGGAAAAAAAATGAATCTGTTCAAATTCTTAATTTCTTTGATTGATGTGCGTATACATATATACATATATCTGTATATATATCTCTGCCATGGGATATTGCCAGCTATTTTAACATCTGTTTTGTCTTGTGAGGATTATGCCATATTGGCGGAGCTCTCTAGCGATCTTACACCCCTTGTCTAATACTATGCTAAGGGGGTTCAGTACATAATCAAGGAGACATACTGCCTCCATGATGTCCGTCTAGCCTTTAGCACTGCCTGGCCTTGGCTCGGGTCTTTTGTACTGGCTCAGGTTACTTTGCTTGGTGTCGTTTCAACTGCCTTAATACAGCTTTCTTGCACTGGCGCTTGTTGGCATTCATCAGACCACGTGGTACGGCGATCGACGGTACTGCGCTATTCGGAATTGATGCTTCTGTGCAAGGTGATTTGTGATGGACGTGATTACAGCATCTGAGCCATCGGAAATCAATCACAGTTCCTTGCAATACTGCCGGTTGATCTATAATGTATTTCAGTCTGCAGCTCACGTTGCATTCGTACTCACTGGCTGAAATACCATTCCCTCCTCCAAAAGTATGG